AGAAATCGAATCCGAGTCCATCAGAAGTAAGGCGGTAATAGAAATCACTAGACCACAGAGGTCTACAATATGATGATATTTAACGTAATTATTTCTATTTAAAGTAATAAATCCAATAAAATAGCTCGCAGAGACTGCAAATATTTCCGCTAGTCCATGAATGCAATGTCTTTTGAGTCGAGAAAATCTTAGACTCCCGCTTCTCTGTAGCTATCTATATATTGTTATGAAATATTATGTTGTGAGTTATGAACACTAATTAAATTCTCTACCTAACAAGCACCTTCTGTAGCTCAATGCCGTATAGGCATTCACATTAACCATTAACTACACTTAAAAAGTTGACTGCCACAGCAATTTTCAGAAATGTGGCCAAAATGACTATTTGATTTAATCACAATATTAACAATGAAATCTCTAATTCTAACTGCAGAGTTCACATTGTAACCATATTTTTTTAACATAAGCAATTTTTGCTTGAATTTAACCTATTATAATTTTTATAATTATATTATTTGTTTTTTTAAATAAACTTTAAGCGTGTAATCACTCTATGAAATTACTTATAGTTTGCATCCTAGAAAAAGAATTCGCTATATACGAGTTATCTCGTACTTGGCAGTCCACGTGTTAAATATACTAATCAAATATAAAAGTGTATATACGCGATATAAAAAGCTGGGATTTTTTTTATGTAATTAAAATGGCAAACAAGCTGCCTACCGATGGCACATTTCGCCTATTTACACGAAGAATACTACTACAGATAAAATAATATTTTATGTACTGCGGACATCAAGTGACACGTGCAATGCCACTCATGCGTTAGCATTCAAGAGGACTAAGATGTCATGCCTCCCCTAAGTAGTCCTCCCAATAGCTACGAAGGTATGCTACATATCGTGATATCAGTTACACGAATGGTATGTGAGGAGGATAGAGCATATATATGTATATTATGTGGGTGTGTGAAGAGGATTAGGGTATAGATTTCTGCTCGAGAGGTCCTGTACTAACTGCAGTGTACAGACGCATATAAGCAATGGACACGGCCTTACAATAGATGTGCTCGGTTTAATTGTTATTTAATTCCAATAGTATGAAAAAATCTCGTTTTGGAAGTAGTATTAAGTTTATAAAACACCCTATATTACACTGAGCTTATTCTGATGATAGACTACTGATAGACGTAAACCGATTTTTATTAATAACTAGCTGGTTTTGCTTATTAGTTGTGTATATTTTTTAAAGCAGAATAATAAAAAAATTACATATTCAATATTTTTCTTAAACCTATCCTTGTCATTTATGGTATAAAAAATAGATAACAACTTATTCTCATAACTACCGAGCATACATATAAAAATTCATCAAAAGCATTTAAGGCGTTTCGTAGTTTATGACAACTAACACTGTGATACGAGAATTTTATATATACACACAGATTTACATATTACTAATAGGAACACTGATATTAATTCAAATATACGTCTGTACTTTTTTTTATAATTTAAATAGTATATACGTATGTATGTTTTTTACTTAATAAGGCATTAAGTAAAAAATAAAAAATGTGGGAAATCATCTCTGTCTGTTTTAATTTTAAAGTCAGTTTTAAAAAAATATTATTGCGATATAATATGTCATATGCTCACGAATACAAATATGTACATAATATATTGCGATCGTAAGAAATAAAGGCAGTTCAACTGATTGACTCTGACTATAGAGGTCATTAAATTCTATAATATGGTAGCAATTTATACTTCAATATTGTCATTGTTAAAACGTCATTCAATTTGACAGTAATTTCTTGAAAGTATAATAGCCGTATGTTCGATGTGCTGATTAGAGGACATTCACATTAAATCAATTATTGTTCTTATTACCAGTGCCGGATTCAGCGCGGTGCCTGTAGCATTATCTTTTTAGAGGCGAATAGTTCAGTTTCGGAAATAGTTTTCATGTTTAAGGTTTTAAAAAAACCATAATCAGAAAAAACATCTTTTACTTGGTTATAAAAAAATGGTGTTTAATAACACTTTTTTTTATGTTGTATTGTGTTCGGAGAATTGTGAGTGCGCGTGGGCTCAGTGTGCGGGCTCGTTGTGACTTTTGCTACTAATGTAATCCGGCACTGTTTATTTTATTTCATATTGTTCGTACCAATAGGTTGAGAGTCGGAAGTAGTGCGCGCGCGCGGTGACATTTGCGGTAGCGTCGCGTGGGTGCTATGCCACACCCCCTTAGCGGATTCTAGAGATGCACCTAATTTAATATTTTTACATAGGTCCTTGTTTTATTTTATTGCCATATTGAAGTTTTTAATATTACGATGTTGGTATATATAAGCTCTGCTCTTCTTTATGAGGTATAGAATACACAACATATAAAGTCTAAAAAATGTCCATATTCTAACGCACGCTTAAATGTACATTAATATTATAATAATTGACTTGAATTTGATTGACTTTAAAATTAATGAATCTTTGTCATGTATTTCTCCTACTTATTTTAATTCGATAATGTAAGTATACGTCATACAATTTTTTTTTTTATGAAATAAAAAATCTACTTAATATGTTGGAATACTTCATGATTTTAGTATAATTATGATAAAATAATACCAGTCGCGGATTTCAACCTACATATACACTACGTATAGACTTAACGAATTATACCAAAACTTTCTGTTGATGAATGAAAATCGCATGAAAACCTGATCTATAATTCTTTAGATCATCCCGAACATACAACACAGACAAACAGACAACGGGGACTTTATTTTATTAGTCGATAAAGTGAATCATAGAAGGCCATGCTCCTTGTAATATTGCTATTTACTTATGATCCTGTGGCGGAGTGTTTGTTGTACTTACGTAAAGATTCATCCCAGATCTATCCGATTCGATAATAGACACGGTATCTATTTCATTGTATTGGTACTTGTTCTATTTTAGTTTGTACTGTAATTTGGACTGTTATCCGCGTTTAGCTTTTTATATATCCATTATGCATGAAAAATTACAATATTAAATTTTAATTTCGACGTTACTGAAAATCTATATAATAATAATTATATCCGGACAATGCGCACAGCACCTTCTAATCTCAATCTAATACAGAGCTCTAGATATAGATATTAATATCTGATAGAAACACTTAAATATTTTTTGTAAGTACATACATAAGACAAAATATACAAACCTATGCAAACAGTCGGAAGTAGTGCGCGAATACTCATGAATACATTTTTTATATCGCGCTAGCAATTGAAGCCACGACCACCGGAAGTAAAGCGATGTGCTAACCCGCCAGACCACCGAGACCGTCTGGCATCTGTTCTGCTTAGTTTAGGAATAAATGTGTCCGTGTTAATTGTCCTGAGTAATTAATTTTATTACTTTTCAAGTACCTGTAACATACTTAGTATAACCACAGATAATATAATGTATAACGGACAGTGCAACCTTAATATAACGAAAAATTTTTCGTAACCTCCTTGAATTGCTCATAAGAGACTATTCAAAATATACCTTTATACCTATTGCGAACATTTTATGTAAATAATCGCTTTATTACGAATTTTCCACTATATGAAAGAGTATAAACACCTCAAATTAACGAATTTTATGAACTCAAAATCTTTATACAACATTCCCATTCAATTGTTATAGGTCAAAATAATACTATACGAATATGTGTAATATTATATTTTTTGTTGAAGATGTTTTTACTTTTTCCATTTTATGAAAATATTATTTCTAATAAATATTATTGTTCCAGGTAATGTCATTAAAAAAAAAATTTTAACTTTGCTACCTATTTACGCGCAAGGAAAACATGAGATTTTCTGTGAGAGATCGCCACTTAGCGATAAGCACTTTGTTTTTGTCGTTGTAATGATATGTATTGTTTATAATTGATTACGTAACGGTATCGTTTGCGAGGGAATCAATAAAGGTCTTACTTTTCATTTCATTTGAATAAATTCTATACACGCCTAATTAACTCGTAACAGCAACCGCTATTCAGAACTATTTAGTTTTTCCATGAAACTCTGCAACATTTTTGCAATCATTTTGCAATCAAATGGCTGCATTCTAAAATTGAATACTTTCGTCTCTGATAATACAGTATTTTTTAATGAATAATAATAAAATGGGTTGTCAGTAAAATATAATAATAAGAGCTTGAGACCAGGTTAATTACAGTACAGTAGTCATCGCGTTTAATTTTTGACGAAATAAGCATGGCCTAAGTTCTACCGTTACCTAGATTCTATTACTAATTACACCCTCGCCATCGATTCAAAGACATATTGTTTATTTGCTTATCATATAGTATGCTAAATTTGCGATGTGCTATAAAGATTACACGCATTTACATGTATCTCACAAAATAAATTTGAGGTAGGTCTAGCGTGACGTCACGGTAAAACATAGACGCGTATTGTCTACTCACATTTCCTATATATTTCTAATGATGTATTCACTCGCCAGTTAATATAAAATATATTTTCTATCAGTTATCCAATATCCATAACAGAAGCTCTGCTTAGCTTGAGACTAGATGGCGTTGTGTTATTTAACCAATTAGATACTATTATCATTATTACACACATTTTTTTGAGCTTCTGTAATTGTGTACATTGCAACTAAAATTGATAATTACTATACGACAAAAGCGTGATTGAGTGCAATTTAATATATTGCTAAAGGTCTTGTGGCGTAGGGCAATTCTTTCCTAGCGGATATGACGCTAATCTGGGGCCCCCAGGGGATCAAATCACGGCTAATGTCGTCATAATTGCGATCCCCACTTGAACGGAACGAGGTCGGGAAGATTGGAGTAAGAATCACAGGCATAATAGTAAAGACTACTATAACTATTTATATTGTTGATCACGTCTTAACACGAATATTTTTATTTTGGTGCAAGCAGTCAAGACAGTCACAATACAGTAATATTATTCTAAATGCATTTCTCTTTGTTTACAGGAAGCGGAAGAATGGGCAAGAAGACAAAGTGGTCCAATGGTCAACCCTTCATTTGAACCAGACGATTTTGTGCCACAAAGGTAATTAATAATGTCTATATGAGCCTATTACTGTAATATTATATTTGACGGGCTCGGTAGTCTATCGGTTTTGCATACAGCCTTACTTTTCGATGGTCGCTCGGTGTAAACATTCATGAGTATGATGATATTGGTCTGTGTATTTTCTATGTATGCATGCATTTAAAATTCAGTTGTTTAGTACCAATAACGCAAGCAAAAGAGATATTAATAATTGATGTAAAAATGAATAATAACACGTGCAAACATTATGCAACATAACTGGTAAGAATATCTAAAAATTAAAGGATGTCATTTAATCGTATATATAATTTACTTATGTAGGTGTGGATAAATCTAACTTTCTATTGGAAATTCCGTACTTTAGTTAGAACCAATAGGAACGGGGTATGAGTTGGCCTTCAGCCGCTTCATAAGTCCCTCCACGAGCTTTAAAACCCCGCTGCATTCCCACCCCATTTGCGCTAGATGAAGCTGTAAAGACCAGATGCGGCGAACAGCAAAAGAAAAGTTCATAGTTTAAGTAAACCCTTTACTGAGAAACTAGTTAATTAAAAAATACTAGATTTACATTTAAGCATTTTTATAGAATTCTTATTTCAACAATATTTTCATTCTTCGATGGCCTCGGTGGTCCAGCGGTTTAGCACACCGCTTTGCTGGTGGTCGCAAGATCGATTCCGCGCCTGTTATAAGTATAATTTTGATTTTTGTATATATGAGTATGATTGTTTGTATGACACTTGATATTTTCTATGTATGTTATGTCAGTATTTACAAAAAAATATAAAATTATTTATATAAGTTATATATATACATACTAGACCTATACAGGCACTGCTTAGTTTTACCCTAGATGGCATTATGTGAATTGTTCATTGAGTATTATTGGTAATATTAATAATGCTATATGGACACATATATATGTACATGAATAGATGTTCTAAATAATCAAAATACAGAAAATTATGAGCACGAACATAAATAGACACTTGCATATTAGTGGAAAACTGGCAACGTGAATATGATGACGTCTTTAATCAAAACAAAACTTTACAATGATATGTCGAAAGGAACTTCTAATATTACAGTAGTACAAACCAAAGTTGCCAACTACCGCGCTAGGAAGATGAAAGTAATGGATGTTGTGACTGAAAAGTTCAGAGCACAAACAAATACGACTTTCAAAAGTGAATTGTAAATAAATGTTTCAGGCAAGAGACTTAACTGTTGTGTATTTTAATAAAGTAGAATAAAATATAGTATATTACATGAAACAAGCCAATAGAACCTTAATAAAATTCAAACTTATACTCGTATATATATATAGATTGTATGTGTAATATACATTATTTATGTTAACATAATTAATTTACTTATCATATACTGAAACGTATATAGTACATTTGTAATTTATTAAGTAATCATTTAAAATATGCTTTGTTTTTAATCAGAGTAATTTTTAATAGAAGTTTTCTGTTTGGCAAGGAATTAAATTGTTTTACCTTTTAAATTAAACCTATTAATTTACATATTCAGATGTTTTATGTATATGTCTGTCATTTAAGAAAGAGCTTAGAAAGATTATGCTTTGTAAAGCATCTTACATCCATTGAATAATGGTTCCTAAATACTGGGAACTCAGCTCGAGATTGGAGTTCGGAAATAGATGCACAATAACAACGTCCGCTCTCGGGAGCTGGACCTTAATACGACGAGCGTAATAATATAACCGATATTAAAGCCTATAGAATTGTCGTCACTGTATTAATGGACTATTGTATTTTTTATTTATTGTTAATATACTTATAGAATAATAAATAGATAATATAAGGTAAGGTAGGCGTAACCCACAAATTCAGAAAATTTCATATAATATATGAAACTAATAACCTTTGAACAGAATAGAATCCAAAGAAAACGGCTAATAACCCTTATAGTGTGTGTCCCTTTATATGCCACAACGCTATATATCAGAAACTGCTAATGTTACTATTATTCAAAATTAATTAATTTTTAATTAATTTTGAATTTAATTCAATTCAATTCTGAAGAAAATCTAATAAGATTTGGCTACTATTGCCGTATGTGTACTGGACATGAACATTTAATATATAAATTCACTTAATTTAGGATTATAAAATACTGTTTAATATATGGTTCACATCGAAGTTTCCCGAAAGTTAGACTGAAATGTAACGTTTTTTTGTAACGAGAATTATGCACGACCTACTGACGTAGGTCACCACAATTGACGCTGAATTTACTTAATTCCAGTACTAGTTATAACACATAATTTTCGTGATTAAATAGATAGTAATTATATATTCATTTCAACACTTATGCTTAAACCACAGATTATATATCTTACTCGTATATATATTGCATAAAAACCTACTAAAGGGAAATATTATTTTATAATTCATATTTTGTTGATTTTCGCATTCGTCTAGTTGATTTTTAGTCTACTTTCCTGTTGATTTTAGTGCAGCATCTCGCTGTGTACTCATAAAAACATATCTCTCCAATTCAACAGGATTTTCATGCACAGAACTGTATTGCACTTCAAATATTGTTATAATATTTTTTCACCGTTCAATTTAGGTAGCAGTAGTTCGGAGTACATGTAAATGATTTAATTGCGTGAATTGTCACACAGCGCCGTCTATTCTAAAACTAATCAGAGCTTGTGCCATGGATAGTTTCTAAATAACTAATAGAAATATTATTTTAATAAAATTTACATAATATTGATATAAAGACTCATTTAAGTAGGAACAATGATATTGATGACCAATTTCTATATTGTTGTATTGTGCGTATGTTGTCTTTAGTCATGGATTCTTTACATGACTAAAGAGAGTGAGCTTAACCGCAAAGACGCCAACGCCGTCAAAAGAAATTTTATGGTATAAAAAAAATGTTAACCACGTGAAATAAATAGATATTTTTATAAAAAAAACTTAAATAATTTTATAATATTATTAAATTTACCTACATTGAATAATTATAACTTAAAATAAGCACCGACCTACACAGTATATATTTTAAATTCAATTATTTTAAATAAAGTATATTCGCATTTTAAATAATCATTGCCTTTATCCCATTCTTTGGGGACGGTGAAGTATATCATCCTCTTCCACTGATCCAAACGGCCGTTATATCTGAGATTATTCTTCTTTAATACATGTAATCTTTAGCACAATAGATCCAGCTTTTTTTCGGTCATTCTCTCTCTTTCCATCCACGTTCATATTAATTATTTTCATTAAGATGTGGTCCTCGCTCCTCCGCATAACATGCTCCTATTAAGTCAATTTGTTACCTATATTCTCATTTTAAATGAACTACAAAATTTCGTCTACGAGAAAATAAATTCTTTTAACCTTAAGTGCCTTTTACTTAGTAAAAGCTTAAAAATCTCTTTAAAGGTAGGACGTAATACATGTCTCTTCATAAAATGTAGTTTCAGAATATCCTCGTCCATTACAAAATTAATATTCACTGCCCTAAAAGTCTTTTCATTTCATAGAGCTTTTGAAAGTTTAAAATGAAATATGCACGAAATGAACGACAGCTTTATTGGTGCGTCGCTGCTGTGTAAATAAATTTAATTTACTATATATAAATCCTACAGTTTCAATTTACTGCGAAAACTAGTCGGAAATCAATACATGATGCGCTGCACATGCAGGACTATGACCTTCAAACAGTTGGGAGTCAAAATCAATGGGTAAATTGAATATATGCATCTCTATATACCGATGATTGTGCAATCAGGCCCCCGGAGACCTGTTGCTACGCAGTATTGATTTGGGGGCGGGACTACGTTTCAGCATTACAATTATATAAAAAATATAATATATATTTATTTAAATGATTCTATTGAAGTTTAGGTTTGGTAGTAATTATTCTGATTATTAAAAATATGGAAAAAATATTAGAAATTTCTCGTAGTTTTATACAAACTATGTAAAGAAATACGAAGATTAAATATTACGTGTGAAAATCTAAAACTATTTTTTTACGAGTAAACCTTGTATAAATAATGCATTTTTTATTGCCACACAATATTATTAAAAGTTGCTACATTTATCCCTTTTAGACAAATTTTTAAGCAAAAAAATACTGACGCCTAGTATATCTATTCATTAATATATGTTAGTACTATTTTTATTAGACAAATACTAGAAAAATTCAAAAACCAAAAAGAGTCTTTTTGGTTTTTGAATACTTACACTTAACTTACTTACTTACTTAAATTACTTTTTTTATTATACTTTTATTTATCCTTTCTTTAATTTATTTTTATTAAACTAATGTTATTTTAATTTAATAATGTTTAAGATACTTTTTAAAAATGGCATATGAACTAAATATTAATTATAATTTCTGCAGTAGAAATAATTAGAATAATATGTAGGTCAAATATTATTAACTTCAGAATACATAAAAGAAATGTAAAGTAAAATGCATTCATATATTTTTAAAAATGTGCGCGCGCACGTTCGTTTAAATGCACCTCTTTAAAGCCCGTAATTAAAAGCCTATCCAAAATATATTTTATTTTACGTATATACAAAATAATGGCATTGAAAACCGGGGGCCATCAGCTGAAACATACAGAGGGGCATGTAGATCAATAAATAAACAGGTACAGGTGGAGCGCTCTGGTCGCCTAGGTGATAACAAATCAAGCTTTCGACCCGGACTCATCTAGTGCATCCCTGCATTCACTTTCTGCAAGCCAGTCACAGAAACAGTCGCAATGTTGAGCGGATCTCTGCTGAACTTTGCGACGGAGTAGAGTGCGCGCTACGAATATTGTAAAATTGTATCTTCTTTATTAAAATGTAAAATATTATTTAAATTGTGAATTGTGCCAAATTTAATAAAATTATTTAGTTTTAATATATTTAATTAAATTTGAAATTAAAATTCTAACTTAAATTTTAATAATGACTTCGTCGCAATTTGAGGATGTTGAGATTCAGAACGCGATAGGGTACGTAATAATTTATATTTTTAAGTGAAATAAATACTATATTTAATATTATTAAAAGGAGTTTTCAAGTAATTTTAAATTTTAGTATTTTATTTGCCCATTTTCAATAAACATTGTTCAGGATAATTCTTATTAATAAATTATCATGTAAAGTAATCCATATTTGAAATTTTTATAGAAAATTAAACTTTATAGAAATTTTATAGTTGCGAAATTTCAGTTTCCAAGTTACACAAATGAACAAAATAGGAGCGTGAAGTGAGTTAAACACCGGATGTTGTTTATTTATAAAATAACAATGCTATATATATGTGAAATTAGAATGTATTTCATTAAAGAAAATAAACTACTTTTCTTTAGTCGGAGTTTGCGATTGCACTCTTGGCTGAGGCAAACCAAAACGCAATATTTTTCAATATCATGATCAACGTACTTTTGTCTTTCAGTTTATCTCCAATGCAAGATGACAAGAAAAAGAAAAAAAATCGTGAAGCTGATAAAGCGATATCCTTAGTAAATATGAAAAATATGGAAGACGTGGACGACTATGAGCCGTACGATAATCGAGTGGTAGAGCATCCCACAACGTGAGTACTTATTTTGTATTTTTGAATTATTATGCACAGCCACATATTCAAGAAGCACAACGCGTTTAATAAGTCTGTATTTTTACGTAATCTGCTCGCGTCTATTTCACACCGATTTTAATGAATTACTTATTTTTGAACAGGTTTAATACTGTTAGTGGTGTAATAATTCATTCACCGTCGAGGATGTACTTTTTGTGAAACACATATCTTGCGTTTTCAGCTTTTCAAGAGTTTTGTCATTTTATCCCAGCTATTTGCGACACATAAAAGGGGAATGACAAAACTCCAACAGTAGATTTAAGCTCGCGTTGAAATGACGACGGAATTTTCGACGGACAGACATATCAGATTTGGTATTCTGCAATAGACCCGGGAATCCATGCACTGAAGCAATTTCACAAATGAAATCCAAATAACTTCGTTGTGTATGGTATTTGTATGCGAAATTAAAGTATTGTGCGTTTTATTCTCCATAGCGATGCACAAATTTAAATAATTTCGCTGTACGAATCAATTATGGCATTGCATTATTAAAAACATTGCGTTTTTGTAATTGCTGTAATTGTTGTATGAATTTACAATCAACAGATCAAGTACGGATCCCGTTGGCCACAGCATACAGAGAAGAAGAGACGGTTTTTTTGTTTTTCTATATAGTGTTAAAAATGTAATGTACCATACTATAAATTCAAATTTTTTACTGGTATTAAAATAGTACTTATTAAAATTAATAAATCAATTTCTTTGTTATTAACTAAATAGTATTAGTAGTTAGTAAAACAGAGGGTAGACCCCAGTGTGCAGTGTACCGACGTAAACTTTGTACAAAGTGAAGTTAAACAAAAAACAACTTGTTTAGCATGCTGTGTTCCTTTTTTTTATACTACTCCTTTGGAAGACCTTCCGACATGGCAATGACGTTTATAAGAGGCGTCATGTCGACATGATATCCGTTGTGCGGATATACGATATTCGCAGATATAGCCAACAATTGTCATTTTTCATCTGGTGGGCCGTCAAGTTACTTGCCATTTTAATTATATAAAAAATGAGTAAGTACACCAATAAAACATTACATTGCATTGGTTTGAACTTGAGGAAACTGAAGAAACGCATATGGTAAAATGCGATATTGAGGGGCAGCAGGCACCGCTAGCCGCCGAGATCACATATGTAGATATATTACCTTCTAGTGAATACACAAAAATAAAGATTCGGCGTGTATGGGACGACTTAAGGGACACGACGTGAAAATATAGATTTACATAGATGTTGAACAATACTAGAGTGGTATAATAATATACTTTATTCAAATAAACATAAAAATGTTATATAGAATTTGAATATTTTTTATTGTACCGCCACATTCGGAATGCAATTTCAACCAAGAAGACTTGGCAGATGTGATCAAAAGTTATGAAACCTGTTTATTATTTTGTGAAGACAAACTATGAAGCGGCGTAAAATTATTCATTAAAAAATACACATAGAAAAAGAATTATGCAACGCTCCTGTCCTTACATTCATAGACCGAATCAACAGTAGACTTATATCACAACCAGAAGAAAGAACTCTTCCCCGTTCCAAGGTCATTGGATTATGGCTAATAAGCTAATAAGGCCGCATTGTCATCACTGTCTTGCCGTTGTTATAATATTTTTATATATTTATTAATAATAGTTTGTTATAACTGTATTTTTTTAATAATGAACAGTGTTTTTTTTTTCATGCTATATTAATAGCAATGGTCATCAGTACACATTATTATTAACTTCCAGCCCCAAATAAAGAGAGTTTGTTCATTATTTCAATCCCTACAGCATATTTACCATAACATTGTTATTGAATTAAAATATTTACCAGAGGTAGACATTGTAGAAATTGATCTCTATGGGTACCACCATTTCACAGATTTCAGCCACAAAACATTAAAGTCGTAAGTAAGTTATAACAGCAAAGTAAAGCTGTATTTCGGTAAGTTATGGCAGTATAATTATAAGGTGTTGAGACATAACGTCTCAGCCTACCGGAATGGCAATGTTTAAATGGTACAAAGGGCGTCACATGATGAAGTTATGTCCTTTAGCGCTCTTTTTATGTGAAGGTGACGATAGCAACTTATTAGCTGATAGGTCGTCATGAGGTCTTTCATTCTAGCTATATAAAAGTACTAGTTTATCTTTAATTAAAATTAATAAAAAGTGCCTATCAATAAATTATCAATAGAAAGAAAGCCAAACACTTTAAAACTCGATTGTATGAATTTTAAAGCGTGTCACGGTAAATAGCCCATTACACGAACCGTTAACGCTAAGGATTTTCACTCCATATGTTATTGTTTATTGAATGTACAACCATTATAGAAATGTTGAGTTTTAAAACGTTGCCGGTGAGCACAATGCAAATTTTATTTGCAAGATCAACAGATGTGCAGAATAAATATTCGTACGTAAGTATTGTAAAATAGTTTCATTTAAATATTATACATTTTACCTATATCTAAATCGATGCAGAACTTTCCGAGTTAAATATACAAATATATATTTATATAAAGACCCGTATTTGTATTACATAGGTTAAGGTTGCCTAAGTCGTAACCCCGACTTAATCGTACCTTCATATTTCATCAGCGGTGTATTTTCAAAAATATCAAGTAGTATTACGATCCAGAACTATTTAATTATGAGCCAGCGAAAACCATTAGACAACATTCGCCTTTTGAGTCAAAAATAAACATGCAAATAACATTTTACAGCTTGGTCATTATTACAAATAAATAAAAATTAAATATGAGTTTCTTAAAAAAATATGTTTTCAGAAAAATATTACTTTAGTATTTCACAATTTTGTAAATAGCTACAATTGTAATAAATAAAGATTCCCTCTAATTAGGAAATAGTAATAAATTATTTTAGTCAATTACACAGCACTATTCATACTCAAACTAAACAAAGTTTGTACTTTATGTGCTAGTCAACTGATATACACACTAAAAAACATTTTTGAAAGAAAATTAGAAACGACGACACCTACATTAGATACGACTTACGAAACCTACTAGTGATCCGCCTATTATCTATTATAAATTAATTAAACAAATTTCTTTTATTTACATTATTAATCTATTATCCACGTTATATAGTTAGAGAAGGTGTCGTATTATGATGATATTTCCAACGTAGTTATAAAATGACATAAATAATTTTCATCAACTACGCATTGCTGATATCTATATACTCAAAATACAGGACCGGTGCGGTGGTCGGGTTTTCCATATAATATAAACATTACTTATTCATGAGTTCTCTCCGATGCTCTACTCGTCGTACACCAACGACATCCCCAAATTCTCCGACTTAAAAGTCGAAATATCTCTGTTTGCCGATGACACGGCTCTCTTTACATAGCCAGACGCTTCAGAAAGCCGTAACCATATTGGGCGAATGGTTCCGTCGGTGGCGCATAGAAGTCAATCCCGAAAAATGTGCAGCAGTGTACTTTAGCAGGGAATTCGACCCTACGAATCACCCGATCGAACTATTCGGCCAAAGCATCCCGTGAGTTCCGAAAACGAAATACCTCGGCGTCACCCTGGATAGGAAACTAACGTTTCGTCCTCACATCAAGCGTATACGCGACCGAACCCCCTTTATACTAGGGCGTCTCTATCCTTTTATTAACAAGCACAGTAAAATATCGCTTCGCAACAAGCTGACATTATACAAAGCTTGCATCCGTCCCATCATGACATACGCCAGTCCCGTATTCGCTCACATACCCTACTATTTAATTAACAGACTACAGATTATACAGAATAGGTTTCTACGTCGAGCTTCTGGTGCGCCGTGGTTCATTCGCAGCGTAGATCTCCATCGCGACCTTAATCTGCCCTCTATCAAGCAGTTTATGAAGGAAGCGTCTCGACGCTACTTCGACTCTGCCCAATCCCACCCTAACCCACTTATAGTCAATGCGGTCGACTACGCACCGAGGAATAATATCCGACATACGCGACAATGTCGCCCGAGGCACGTTCTCATTGACCCCGACGACCCCATAATCCCCCGTCCAATTCAAACGGGGGTCGAAATTACGACGGCCTGAGCCGAGGTTTGAACCCTAGTGGTGCCCTCAGACTAAAGTCGTATTCGTCAGGCAGGAGTTGGCCTTCAGCCGCTCCATAAGTCCTTACTTGGTTTGGAGTGCCATCTGCACTCGCCCCCTACCGTCCGGTGAAGCTGTAAAGGCCAGCTGCGGCCAACAGCATTAGAGTAGTCCGAAAAAAAATATATATTCATGAGTGTTATGTCTGTACAGATGTTCATCATCTATGACAATTCTAATGCCAAGGTTTGCAAAAACCTGGTAATGTAGTTTAAAATAAAATAGATAGATAAATGCTTCAATTGTATCGTTAGCGCATAAAAAAACATAAAACAAATGTGTTAAAGAGTAACAACACTAAATAAACAACTGTACTCCACAAGTGCCACATAATTTCATTGCCATATATCACCAATGGCAACGATTAAGGTCCACCTCAGCAACAAGCGTGTACAATAATCATAGTAATATCTGTCGTCTATATACGACAGATGCCATTTCCATTCAATATTGCACAGTGTCTAGGAGAGACGAGTTCTAAACAAGGTAACAGGACGTATTTCCGTTAATCTTATTAGGGTATCTCATTACCTCGACCTTTATTGTTACAATTAGGAGTGACAACCACTTAGTCCTCACGCAAATGACATGATTTCCTTGCGTCCCGCTTGCCTGATAAATTGTAGTACAAGGATAGAAGTGCAAGGCTTTTTCCTAGTAGATACTGGCGTGCGAATAATTTCCCAATGATTCACTTTTGCAAGTGACATGTGGAAGAGGAAACGCCCTTACACATTCTATGTGGTTGTAGCCAACTCAGCATAAACGATATATCTCTTTAAAAAGTACACACTCTATCCTAAGGAGATAAAAATCATCACTCTTATGAATTTCAATTCGTTTTCTTGACGGGCCTAGGCAGAGAAATCTGGAGATAAGGGCGAGCACATTAGATCTCCGCAAGTAGCAGTGTAACAGTTCTAAAATAGCCTAAGCCCCACTATAAAAAAAACTTGATCATTATATCACGGAAATGTTATCTTATTAATTTTGGATTAAGAATGCAAATAGAAATTGAGATGTAGTGAATCTAGATAAAATGAAAAATATTGCACACGCAATAATAGCAATTACAATTATAATAACCCTAGTCAATTCGAAATACCTACATACAGCACATTATCTGATATAAATAAATACATTCCTTTTTAAATCAATAGAGAACATCAAGAACAACACAAACGATCGTAATTGCGAATTCAAAGTTAGTATCATGGACAAAAGAATTGAACAAGGGACCATCGAAAGTATGTAAAGCGGTGTCAAACTACTAAAGCCGTTGGTTGTAATGCAAATGTAAATTATCTGTACCGTAAGTTACGGATAACAACTTCTACCTTTTACTTTCATGATTGGCTGAGATGTGATGAGAATTCTATGTTCTTCTCCATACCACATTCATGATAACTCAAACCGTTTGACTTTTAAGACATGAAATATAAACAAACTTACAATTAGTATTATGCATAAGATACAATGTTCAAGATGATTATCATTTAAAAGTAAATAAACCTAGTGGATATTCAGAAAAAGTAATGTTTACTTTCCGATTTGTTAATACAATACTATGTAGTAATCGTATTACACAAAATACTTAACTATAACTTTGTTATACAGACAATACAAATTTCATAAAGTTATTAGGCAATATTATCTAATATTATCTCTCATTTCGAGTTATTATAACACTTCATCTACATATGTCAAAAGAAATTAATGATTCGATAGTAAGAGTTATTTAAATGTTATTTAACATTCAAACAGCTCTTTAATATAACTATTAAGTAAACAATAACAAGGAACATATTTATATTGCTAAAATATTATAATACGAAGCGTACTGGCCGGATCAAATAAAATTGCGAGTATTCCGTTCAAACGGAAATCCGGATTAATAATTTTGAAGTGGAATCAAACAATACATAAATTTTAAATCATGTTTTACGTCTAATAAAGCTTTAAATACAATATCATTTCATAGTATAAAATAAAGTCGCTATCGCTATGTATGCTTAAATCTTTAAAACCACGCAACGGATTTTGAAGCGGGTATTTTAAACAGATAAAATGATTCTAGAGGAAGGTATAAATATATATTACATGGCGAGTAGCTAGTTAATATATAAATATTATTTACGATTACGAAAAACAATACTACCTACAGTTTATATGATATCTTTTCATGCCGTATCAGGAGCACCTGCAATTGGTCGCAGAAAAGCGCGCGCGCAATTTTCAGAGCCTGTACATATTTTTTGCGTTTTCACTACTGACGCGCGTTTGCTATTATGTTTTTGAGTCAAAAAGAAATGTTGTCGTAAATAGCCTAATGGAGTCCCGACATATTATACCGTAAACGCAAGCCGTAGCATCATGCCATATTTATATAACTGTTTAAGAAATACTGGCCATTTTGAAAAGATGAATAATTTATTACAAAAATTCAAATGTAAAAGAAAACTTTAAGATCTATTGAATCACTAGGGATTTGAAAGCATACGTGTAAATGCAGCTATTGAGACGGATGAGCATAACGTCTTACGTAGGAACTCTAGGGGCTTCCTTGGAATATTGATAAGTCAGTCAACGCCTCAGGCGTTGCAACTCAAATTTAAGAACCTATTTTAAGCATTTCGTTGCTAATAATGAACTTTCTAAAGCTGTCATTACCTCTTAAATTGTTATATTTTTTAGGTTATTTTTATAACTTAACTAAATTCGAACCGATCTTAATTAGACTTGTATTTATTGTAGACCAAGATGAAATGGAAACTTCAATAGATGGTATTAGTTTTGAAAATCACTGATAAGAAGTAGTAATAAAATATATAGTCGATACAAACTTCACCGAGCGGTCTAGTTCGTAATAAAATACAATTATGGTGCAAAGATACACAATAATAAAATACGATCGCTCGAGACTTCCAGGATTGTTAATAAAAAGAAGAAATTTGCGCGATCATAATAGTAAGAAGGTTATATTATATGTATACTAGCTTTTACCCGTTGCCTTGTCTGTTTTTTAATATAAAAGATGACCTATGTGCTTGTAATGTCCTTAAGATTCGTTCAGTCATTTAATCATATTGATGTCGTTTAAAAATATAACAAACAGTTATATATACATATAGTAAAGTACTGGTACGAAAGATTACGAAAGTAATAAAAACATTAATAAATTTGATTCATCTTTGATTTTGCTGGAGTATCCAAATATGGGTTTTTTTAATTAATTATAATGAAATGATAATTTCTCTTGAGGAAGCGGTATTTGCTGCAGTATCCCGTGAAAGTTAGCATGACTGACTAAATTCCTAGCAATAAACTCCATTGCAAAAATAACCTGATAGCCCAACTTATGGTAAGTGGTAGCCATCAACAATAATTAGAAAAATAATAGTTATTCTGACAGCGTACATATAAATTTGATTTAAGTAAAATTATTTTGATCACACGTCGCAACTGTGGTACATACAGTAGATAAAGTGGATGCTAATTGATAGTCTAATGCGATGTGCTACCACTAGAACACAGGTATTTTAGTGGTTGAACATATCACTTTACTTCCTATAGTCGCGAGTTCGATTCCTCGCAGGATACAAACTTTTGTAATCATGAATATGATTTATTGTATTAGTCTGTTTTTATTATATTATCTTATCTGTGGTTTTTATGTATGTATTTTCAAAAGAAAGCTGTATTTAAGTATTTTTATCGGTTGTCTAGTATCCATAACACAAGTGCTGCTTAGCACGGGAATAGATGTAGCTATGTGAAATAAATTAATAATGATTATACTTCCGTTAGATAGAGAAGCAGTGACTTAGACGAGAAAGTTGGTTGTAGAACACGTGGAGCATAAATCTACGCCTGAAAAATTTACTTTCACTTCATATTATAATACTTTTGTATTAGTTTCGAAATACTTTTCTGTGCATCCATCCAACTTCAGTTTTTCAGTGACAGTGGAATGAAAATACTTTCATTTTAGTTCGCTACAATAAATAGCACCTTGTAATCTGTATATGAAAAACATCAATTGCTGTTCGTTAGTGTTTGCTAAAACTCAAAACGGCATGTTAGGTTTCTTTGTACATGCTTTGGCCGATACAATACAGGGATGGTATATAAAAAAAGCTTGGAAAACGGTGAGCCGTTTTGTTGTTCTTATGGACAACAGGACAATCATAAAACAAAATGTCACATTTTTACGGGAATTACAGCATGCGATTACTTTTAATAAATTATGTCGTTATTGGGTACCTATCAAGCAATTGACTAAACTGGCATTTCTTCTTAAATTATAATTGAATGGAATCAAGTAGAACAGGATACAACTAGGAACAAGGAAGTAGAACGCGAATGTGTGTGGACGAAGTAGAATAGGGTACGTCGGGACAAGACGGCATAAGACGAGTTGGACAATGGACAAGAAGTGTTTTGAACTACCCAAAAAAAAGTAGAGAAGACTATGTTTTACATATCTAAATTTTCTAAATTGAGTGACGGGCAAAAAAATTGTCTTTTAAACTGTTTATTAAAATAATGATAAAATGCAATGACATAGGTTTGTTTATCGAATATACATATATTTTGGGAAAGTTTATGATATCACTTAAAGGTTAGGATATCAGGATTAAATAAAATAATATAAATCCCTTAATTTTGATTGTCGAAGTGATAGAAAATTTATAAATAAATCAATATATTATAATAATCATCTATTCATATATAAATATTGTGTTATTTATTTGATTTGTAAAACTGATGTATAATGTATATTTCACACGTCGCCACTGCTCGGTAATGTACGCTTGTAGGCCTATTAATTAAACCGACATATGTAACTCAGTCCTCAAACCGTATCGCAGTAATTAATCTGTGCACAGTATGGTTAATTAGTAGCAATCTAAGACGGCCTACGACGATTTGCACACCGTATATTTCTACGGTCGTGAGTCCGAAACATTTACAATCATAAGTATGGTTCTTAAGAACAGAAAATTTATAGTGTTTAGTATATTACTAAAATATATTGTTTTGATTTATTTTCCATAGTTACCTTTAATATCGCAAGTATAATAATACACAAACACACATCCGCTTACATATGTAACATATTTAAGTATATGTAATATTCATATATTGAATAAACAGATAAACCTTTTATTTACATTGAAGGGCACACAAACAAGGTACAGTAACATAAAGAAATACACAACTACATTGGTCTGTAATCAAAATACACTATAAGTACAAAAAACGTTTTACTATGGTAGTGTGTGTGCATTGCCCATACACAAAAAAGGCAACACCTCACCAGTATTATTTGGTCTAGGAGCACATCACTGATTTTCAAGTAATGCCAGGGACATATGGAATTACGCATGTAACAAAACCGCCGCATCTAACCACCTCTGTTGCATTAGTTGTTTAGTGCCCTAGAAGGCGCTGCAAAGATCCTCCTTGATAATTAAAAATATAATTATTTTAAACGGTATACACATGTTGTATCTTCTTTCCACAGGAACACAGAAACACTTCTCCATTTACTCAAAGGCAGCTTGGGTACGGGCATCCTGGCGATGCCGCATGCATTCTCGAACTCTGGCTACATCGTAGGCACTATAGGTACCTTCGTGATCGGTATCCTGTGCACTTATTGCATACACGTCCTCCTTGACACCAGCTATGTGCTATGCAAAAGGCGCAGGGTCCCATCCATGACCTATACCACAGTGGCTGAAGCAGCTCTTTCCGAAGGCCCCGGGTGGTGCAAGGCAATAGCGCCATATTCTGGGTAATTATTCTTTCCATTATATATTTTTATTTTAATTCTCATTATTATTAGTACCTATTCCGGGTTTACACGTTAAAATCATTCAGTAATCGATTGCTCGCGTTCCAAAATCAGATTTTTCGATTTATTGCGGCTGTGCGTTGATAGTCAGTTACGATCACAGATCAAAAGAAGTAGTAGCTTTTTTCATAATACTACTACTCGATAACGGTAAGAAATATGAAAAAATGTTTTAAATATAAGTTGTAGAGAATAAACGGGTCCTTTTCAATGTTTAATTTAAAATTTTACTGAACTATTAACTACATTTGTTTATATGTATGTAAAACAATGACACGAGAAGTGAGTATTGGTGATGGTAGTTTTCAAAATAATTTCTTATCACATTCTTTCTACTTACTACTTCCGTGTTCTGGACAAATATACGTATAGATGACATAAATATAAACTATTTATTATGTACTGTATACTATGTACACACAAAATGTTCAGCTTGTATCTTTTTAGGATACTATTTTTCTATTTGTATGTTATTACTGACAATAATTCAATAAATTTCGTTGGCATAATAAGGCATCTTTATAGAACGAATGGCTGTATGTGAACGAAGTATGTATTTGGCTAGAAAACAAATTGGTTGTATTCTAGAAACAAGAAATAAAGCGTAGTTTAGTTGTACTTAAGTTTTATTGTAATTAATATTTAAAAAAATGTAATCACTTAGATACTTAGAATATTTCTTTTATTATATTTTCCTAATCATTGTCGACATGTACTTTAGACATATCATCTATATATTAATATGAGAAGCAAGAATAATGTACCCCTTTTTAAGAAAATGGCGCAGACGGAGTATGAATTTTCGCATACTTATAGTTTATATTAGAGAAGTAGTGCAGAATGCTAATCTTTTTTAATATATGTATAAAAATAAATTAAATCAATAAAAAGCAGTAATCTGAATACACCCTAAATAAGGTAAAAGCTAAATTTATAATTATAATGAAATATGACACGCATTTCGACCACTGGGCGACCACTATATATATCTAATGCGTCATATAATAAAATGTTTATGTATTAATTTGGTTGTATTTTTCATTATAACTATATTCTTAATTTGAAAATAAGTGACAATATTTTTCAATATATAAAATAGTCTTTAGTATTTAGAAGTGCATTTGTGCGCAATATTATAATACTCGTACAATAATATAATATTCACTGAAGTAGAGCAATATCAATATAATAAAGATCGTCTGTATATCTATGGCATATTACATCATATTGCAAAGAGATAAGTCGATAAATGTTTGTTATTGAATATTGTTTTCCAATTCTCCTCCTATTTCAATATTTATGAATAAGTGTTAATATGACTCCTCTATATACAAAACATACTCCTGACAATTTTCTTTAATAACTGATTAAACTCGAAGAGATTTTTGTCTACAGCATACTGCAACTAATATCAACGTTTCACACTAGTTAGATTTTCTTTATACAAATTAGATTTAATGTTACACTTAAGTTAAAAACTCTATGGCTGCAAAAAAACGGATCTATTTTAGTCATGCATATGAACAAGACAGTAAAAAAGTCTGTAAACAAGAGTTAGATATTGGAATTATAATGAATTTTCAGAACACCTTTACATTTATTGTAACAAGCAGAGTAAAGCGGAACGTAAATATTTCAATTGAAAGTATTGCACTTGAGTGAGGACAGACGCAAAACCTCTAAATAAAGATATAACGAATACAGAAAAATACGATATCGTAATTTCGTTGCGTGGTCACGCTCCTCTTAATAATAACAGCTCATTCGTTATAAGTGCACTCCGCTCCGCGGCCGACAGTTAAATCCTGAAACGTCCTTAGGCGAGCTCAACTGAAATGGAAATTCTGTTTTGATGCAGCTACCAATTTACATGCACATTTGCGATAACAGAGCCGTCAATTGTATTTGGTGACATCAAATCGATATAGCTTCAATAACGCAAATACATTCAAGATGGATGTTACATATGTACGTGTGCTTTAATAAGTTAGTGTTCAGTTTTGACAATTGGGTCTTGACGAGCCTTGCCTTTGATTCAATATTAATCGTTTGGACCTCAAAGCATTCAATTGTGTATTCACATCACTTGATTGAACTGCGTAACCACTGGATTATATAACGCTTGAGACAATGTCCAATTTCAAAAAGATTGAAATAGCAGGTACTGAGAACAGCTTAATTTCTACCGTACGTCATTTGGTTTATATAACATATAACTGTTTGTTTGTATGAAAACAAACAGTTGAAGAAGTAGAATGAAATTATATACATATACATATTTGTTAACAGATACAGAAATTTATTATGAGCGCTATTTGACTCACGTCTTTGTTAAATTCCAATGTTTAAACGTATAATTCATTGCACAATGGTTAGCCGCATTAACCAAACAGAGGCATTTTCTACTCGCATTACTCTGAATCAATATTAGCTGGATTACCATTGCATTTCCATTTACAAAGCTTTAGGCGATGTAACAGAATTGTTACATAATTACCTCAAAGGCTTTGTTCAACTGAACTATTTGTTCATTTTATAAAAGCATGCATTATCAGCATGTTATTATCTGCAGTCCATATTAATGTAAAAAGTGAAGACTTTGTTTTTGTTTAAATTTACTAATCTTGATCAGATTTGAAAAGTAAACGATTCTATATTTGATAGTCTAATTTCTGAGAAATTACAAAATTAGACAGTATTATATGTTAGTCCCCCAAATCTAAAAATTGGTACATTACAGTTTTATTAAAACGCACATATCGCTATCCGTCAAATCGATAACACTGCCAACCCACAGAAATAATTTAGGGGAATTCCGAAGATATGACATTCGATTTCTCTCAACTGATATCATTAAAATCGGGTTGGAAACTGTCATATTTATTTTGAAAATGGAAGAAATTTTCAAAAGTTCAGTTTGATCAAGATTTTCTGTTATGGGTTTAAGGGCCCCCTGAGCTTGAGGGCCCCTGGGGGCACTGCCCCGCCTAGCTCATAGGTAGCTACGCCACTGGTTCTTGGGAATGGCAACGTATGAAGGTACGGCGGTCACATGATGGCACGATTTCCATGATGCTGTTTACGTATTTAGACGACTGTGGTCAGTTAGCGTTAGCTTGTCATTCTAATTGCATATAAAAAACTGAATTAAAATCCAGACAAACAAAAATAACACTAATAAAAAAGGCGTAAGTAATAATGTACAAAGGTACAGAGTCGCAGGCGCCTCTAATAATCAATAAAAATGAATTATTAAACAAATTGTTGTGTATTGATAAGTTGTCTACGTAATTATGTCATCATGGTTTGAAGTAAATATTTATATACATCTAATGATAGTTTTAAAATTACAGAACGGTAGGCAAATCCATTATTTATTGAGCCGTAAATGCAAGCACTATGTCATTAAGTAATTTCATCGTAGACCACTTAACAATTCTGTATTACACACTTCACTTGCCGTCATCTATAATTTCTCATTAAGTAGTCGTTTTATTATCAACTAGAACGGACGAACTGATAAATTATAACCCACAAATAAAGCATTCGGTGAAATAGAATTTCCGAGCTTGTATAAACGAAGAAAATTACATGTAAAGTTTCAAATTGTGTCTTATATATATTTATGCAAGTATTTTATTATTACATATTATTACAATTTTGTAATAATTGTAAAAAAGTTGAATAATAACCAAGTTTGTTTCTTTGTTCGTACTTTATGCGCAGCCATGTTAAGGGTACAACAATACTACCTCCTAGTACCTAACTGACAGCACGGGAGGCGCATGTGGTATCGTGGAATGAATTTCGTAGAAAATTTTTATATGCAATATTCCGACGTGCCCGGTAACAGTGAATATTTCCAAACCCGTAGTTCATACATCAAATTAAATATCGTATTGTATATCCGCTCTTGTAAATATGCAATAACAGCATATTTACAAGAAAACAATAGATTGTTTAGTTCTCAATAAACGGGTTCGCGTCACTTAGAATATTTTTGTATAGATCAGTGCAAATGTTTTATTTACCATTACGTATTTATAAGCGATTGTATAGATTCGTTTTCTTAAGTTTAATCACGTCACTTAGAGTTAAACAATTTTTAGAACATCTATTGGTGCATAGCAGTATGACTTAATATTAGTTTTAGTTACACAAGAGCAGTACCTACTCTAAAACGTAGTGATCATCAAAGAACTTTTACTTGTTACAGGCATGTTGTCAACGCTTTTCTCCTGATATATCAAATTGGAACATGCTGTGTTTACATTGTTTTTGTTGCGGAGAACATTCAGAGTATTTTAATCAAACAATTCGGGATTGAAGTACACGTGATACAGGTGATGGCCGTAGTCCTTCTGCCACTTGTTCTCATGAACTGGGTGCGAGATCTGAAATACTTAGCTCCGTTCTCCGCTATGGCCAATGCTGTGACAATTGTAGGCTTTGGCATCATTCTGTATTACATCTTCAGGGATGTGCCCACCCTCGAAGGGAAGGCTCCAGTGGGAGTAGTGTCTAAGTTCCCGCTTTTCTTTGGTACCGTGTTGTTTGCTTTGGAAGCTATTGGAGTGGTAAGTAAATCAATGAATATCGATTAAGTTATCTATTTTTACGATATTAACTATATAGACCTTAGTGGTATAGTGTTTTAATTTAACATTATGTTGATCTCAGATTCAGTCTCTTTTAAGTAAACGTTTATTTTATAGTCATGGATTGGTAAAATACTATATATAAATAAACTTGTATTGATATAGGTATTAATTAAACAAGTAATCCTGATCGAAACTACTTCTCGAATTCATTAATTACTTTTTTATTGCAATTTACACATTGTATTATTTAGAGATGTCTAAAACAGGCTCCTTTCAGACTAAAATCTCTAAAGGAGTAACATTGAGATATTGTATGTATGTGTTTAAATAGATCTTACCATTGGAGAACGAGATGAAGAACCCTCGAGACTTCGTTGGCAAGTTCGGTGTACTGAATCAAGCTATGGGCATTATCATTACCCTGTACATCGGCATGGGACTGTTCGGATATCTGCAATATGGAGACAAAGCTGCTGGTAGCATCACACTTAACTTGCCCTCAGACTCGGAAGTGTAAGTATACTATACGTACACATAAATACTATTCGCTGTCTGCACGGAAAGATATATCAGAATATTTGTCAAGGAGTTGTCAAGGATTTGTCTGAGATCGAAGCGCATATGCTTCGATCTCAGAATCAACGGATTTGTATACGGACGGATCACTGACGTAATATGGTATACTTATATTAATAAATATTAGTAATTAAAATTTAATGTCGGTTTTCTTCCACTAGGTTTGTATATAGTATAGATAATACAGGTGTGAAGTGAGGCTCAATTAGATAATATGCATTTATCAATAAAAAAAATAAAAAAAAAATACTTTTAATTTAAGATGTCTACTACCTACCAGCGACCATCTCCGGTTTCGTATGGGTGCAGTCATTACTGATATGTATACATAATTATTTTATACAGAAACTAGTAATATTAACGTATATTTCTATATTCGAAGCGACATCTAAAATCGGTTTTATCAGTTTATTAATTACGTTTACGTGTTTAGACCTTTTTATTCACAAGAAAATAAGCGATTAAGACTTGGGACTTCCCCAGTTTGCTGATATGAGAAAATTACATTCATAATAATTAAATAAAGAACAAATTGAAGTGTATTTCACCAGAAAAAGAATCTGCTGCCATCCTACGAAGAACTGGCTAAAAAGTTAGTTTTGAATGAACCTTTGCTGAGCAGTGTCTGCGTAGATGCGCGTACAGAATACAGATGGCATTAATTGTTATATTTCGATGCTGCCGGACATATAGAGTTCATCTTCTGGTGGTCGTCAATCTATTAAAACTTTATTCTCTTTTCATGTATCCTTAGTCTGGCAAGCGTAGTGCAAGGTCTGCTGGCGTTTGCAATATTCATCACCCACGCACTGGCTTGCTACGTCGCAATTGATATCGTGTGGAACGAATACCTTGGCTGTCGCTTCCAGAATACCAAATACCGTCTCGTCTGGGAATATTTGGTCAGGACCGTAATTGTCCTCCTCACATGTAAGTTTAACGAGATCACATCTCAAATTAGTAATGCTCAGGAGGTTGTCACGAACACTCTTTAGTATTTTAACATAGTGACAATGTAGATGATACAAATCATTTTAAATTGAGAGCAATGACTTTTATATAATCCCATTTTATTTTAATAACCATTTGTCTATACAAATCTATACACCTACACTAGTCAAGAGTAATTATTTTTTACGTACATATATGAAAACAAACTATTATTTTACTTTTTACAATAATTACAAAATTAAGTTTAAGCATGTGAATTACCCAATAGATATTACCGCAGTAAACTTATATCAAAGTCGCCTGCGCAAGTACCTGTGTAATAACTTTTTCAGCTAGTAAGGAGCCTGCATTGTAAGATTATTTTGAATTGAAAGGTGAGATAAGGCAGTGAAATTATAAGATATCATAATCCAGTGAAATTACAGAATAAAGGTAAGGCAGTAAAATTACAGGATAATGAAAAGGCATAACATCTTATTACTTGAGTAACGACAACGCATGAGTGGTACTACGGCTGACACGTGTTAACGCGATGTTAGTATGGCTGTTTGTGTAGATAGGCAACGACTAGATACTGTTTAACCTTAAGTGAGCTGTAATTTTATATGCTATTTCAATTACATAAAAGATCCAAGACTTGATCCAAATAACAAGTTAATTTGTGTAATCTCGGCATTTAGTTGGCGTCGCCGCGGCTGTACCCGAGTTGGACCTGTTCATATCTCTGTTCGGGGCTTTGTGTCTCTCCGCTCTGGGCCTGGCATTCCCCGCCTTCATTCAAAGCTGCGCCTACTGGCATTACGTTAATCGCTCCGAACGTATACGCATTATAATCAAGAATGCGTTCGTGATCATCTTCGGCATCCTCGGCCTCATTGTTGGAACCTGGACATCTATGGAGGGCATCATCCTCAAATTTGCTGGCAAAGAAACCCACCACATACCATACACCAATGATACCATCATTGGTCCCAATGTAAACTAAATGAAAAAACCCGCTCACATCGAGTTGGAACTAGTAGCTATATTATATAACATCGTAGCTAGTAATTGTGATGAATTGATTTCATAGGTTAGTACAGACTCAATCGTTTGTATGGATTAGAAAGTCTCACCGGGCATCAAGCAGTGAGACCTTAGTCCTCGGCAGTGGCAACGTAATGTTATTCCAGTTGCAGCTAGATTATAAGATCGCGTTCAGGGACTATTGACAAATAGTTGGTGCAGAGTCGGAAAACTGTCGATTGAAATCAATTTTAAATAATATATGTTAGCTATTGGGTTATATAATTAGCCCCCAGTATAGTACCAGGATAGTACATTCAATGAAAGCTAGTGCCATGGAAATTACCGAGAAGTCATTACGACATATTTTATCTTCAATATATTATCGTTATAGATGTTTCCATTTTAATGTTATGCTTGTAGATGTTTAAAAGATGAATTATAATTGTTAAATTTAATGTAGCTATATTGATTGGGCGACAGTTGACGTAGCGACCTGGGATTTATATTAGATAACGCAGTTGTTAGACATGGCAATTGGCAGTTCAACGTTTATGCGTGTATCATTTGACAGTGGTTTCAAATATAGCAACTGCAAATGTCAAATGGATCACATATAAAACTGTCAATGGGAAGACACTGCAATTGCGTTATATACTCAAGGAGTCCCTTGTTCGTAGTTGACGGCAAATTATTGATTTCAAATATTCAATCTATTAATTATTAATAGCGTTAATTCTCAGACATTGTTAGTTGTAGTTAAAGAAATAAATTTTAAAAATCTATTTATCTATTTAAACAAAATAGTAGTTAATAGAATATATATAAAATACCAGTTTGAATATGTAACAATACTAGAGAGAAATTTAAAGTTTGCCAGTTGATTACATACAGCAGGCAACAGCATTACATGATTAATCTTATATATTCCATAACTATAATGTAGATGTTTTACGTAGATTGTTTATAAAGAACCAAATCTCCAATATGCCAGCTCACTCTTATAATTCTAGAACCATAGGTAATTTCTAATAGTATTATGAAATCGTTAGAACATTATCAGTGATGTTATATTGATATATGGCATTTTGTTAGTTTAAGAATAATTTAAGTGCAGCAAACGCCAATATGATGCACCAATAACTGGACATTAACCGACTACAAGTATTATAAATGTAGTCGCCCGTTTTGTGGGACATCAACTTGGCGTCATATCATCTCTTTATTCATACAAATGTTAGACTCTACTACACCGGTTTGAGCTATTCAACTGTTGTCTTTTTCTTTCGACGTATATTCTCAATACGTTATAAAGAGAGAACACTGTAATAGTTTAAATGGATTTGTAGCATGGTTTATGTTTTATTAATAAAGGAGTTGTTATATTAAGTAAGATTCAAAATATTTTTCGAATTCAAATGTCTTGGTGTTGTCTAAAATTTCGATATAAAAATTATAAATGATATATTTTAATATTATTTGCCTCTTACAATCATAAGTATAGAAAATGATTATTATTGATTAATTTTGACCTCGCGGAATTGTTACCGTTGTTTTGCGTGACTGGGCGATTTTAGAACGTTGTTGCACATGTTCATGCATTGGAAATGCTACATTTGGACTTTCAATCAGTTCCAAATAGGAGAGGAATGCAACAGCGTTACGTAATCATACCAGGTGTACCTATATAGTTATATAAGTTTATAAAAATATTAGTATGATGCCGTCTAATTTGTATGATATATTGATTTGCGCAGGATCGCTTCTGTTTGTTCGGTTCCACAATTGCCATTAGTACCTATTTAAAATTGTTTTTATTATTCAATAATAGCTAAATATAAGTATCAGCGACAGTTATTAGCATGAATTTTAAATAATAGTAGACGTGGACTGGACTGGCATTAGATGCCTGTTCCATGTACAATTAGAATAATTAAATGTTTATGAAATCTGAATGTTGCATTAAAGAAAAAAAGCTAATAACTTTAAAGGATTGCATTCTTGATGTCATTATGCTGATTATTTTATTTTGTGTCTTACTTCGACGTAAGATAAGCTATAGTATGGTAACGTACAGGTATGAGACAAGTACAGACAAGGAATGTGAGTACAAAATTTAATGTGGTCTAAAGATATTTTTTTCAATAAATAAATATTATTCTAACAAATAATTTCATGAAATGAAGGAATTATTTTTATAAAAAAATGCAATACCCCGCAGTACAAATGTTCTAGTAACCGTAATTGTTTTTTCTGTTGAATTACTTTAATTTAACAGGTTTTTTTTCTAAAAACCCTTGTCTGTATTTTTATTTTTTAATATAATACAAAATTATTTTTCTACGTATTTTTTATTCAACATAACTTATTGTTTTGTAGAATATATCTTTTTATATACTTTTTAAAATTAATGCAATTTTTTACAAAATTGTCGTTATACTTCAATCATTCGATAAATAAGCGACAACTAAACTCATATTGTTTCCATACTTTTTACAAACAACCACTAAGTAATGCACACTGCGGATTTTTTGTGGATTCGCCACGGCGAAGATATACATATTTTCAAAATTGCATAAACAATCGCTTTAAAAAATGCGCAGTTCAGATAAACTTTATGATTACATTATTATTGTATTACATAAAGAAGAGAAAAATGATGGATGTAGCCACGTTTCTTCGAATTCCTATCTATAACTCTAACAATATTGAAGCGGTTCAAATTATACCATAGCATTACAAATGATTGGTATAAAATACTGTGTCATTATTTTTATTAATTAATCTGTGATGTTTGTTAATTATAAACTATGTATTAAGAATTTTGTTTTATTAGTTTTAATATAAAGATGTGTTTCACACATCAGTGATATTACGCTCAGAGTGATGTATGTATTCGGGGTGGATGCCCATGTGTAAGTTATAATAAAGTTATTTAGCTAATATTGTTTTTTATTTATTCCCAAGCGGAATGGGGAAGGGGGTATTAATCTAGGTATATTTTCGTAATTTAATTCGCTTTGTCTATTATATAGAATTAATGAATCCTCTCATATATAGAATACAATATGAACCAATACATTTTCATCAGCGTATAGTAATAGCGTAAAGCAATTCCTAGTATGATTTAAAAATAATTAATAATTCTGGACAATTCACACAGAGCCATTTGGTCCCAAGCTAAGCTTGTGTTATGGGTACTAGAGAACTCATTTATAGAATTTATTTGTTATGTAAATATATACATAAAGTATATATAGAAAACAGCTAAACCAACACAAAGAATCATACTAATCAATACAAATGATTGCACCGTGTTAGAAATCGAAGCCGTGTCTAGAGGAAGTACAGAACAAAAAAGAAGAGTCCAATATTCATAAAATCCAAAAAGTAGGTATACAAATTTGAAATGAAAAGGTGTGTTAAACAGTCACATTTTTTTAACTAGATACATAATATACACTGAAAACAATCAGACTGCCACAAAAAATGATAATAATGAATACAAATGTGACTAATGCTTATCTGTACATATAAATAAAATTGGAGTGTCTGTTTGTAATACTGAAATAACCGTTTTTTACCACATATGAATACAAATACGGTACATACACCTAAATAACATTTTTTGTCTGTCTGGTTGTTTGTTCCGGTTAATCTCTATAATGGCTGGACCGATATTAACGGAACTTTTATTAGCAGGTAGCTGATGTAATAAGGTATAACTTAAGATGCTTTTATTTTAGAAAATATTAAATTACACGCGGACGAACTCGCGGGTACAGCTAGTATTAAATAAACTTAATATAAGCACTTTTAAATAGTCATGTTTTTGATTCTAAAACTCATTTACAATAAGAATCAGTCCCATTCATTCATCATGATCTTCATAAAACAATAGATTAAGAAATCCTTCTGCTCTGTCCCTTAAAATCCATACCAGTAAAGTGCAACCGTCTTCCTGGAGTTTTTTATCAATCGCGCGAAAAACATAAAGAACCTAAGTGTATCCATTAACGAACATCTTAACTAAAAGCCTGTGAAAGTATAATTCATAATAAATTTATGTAGTACAAAAAAAAATATATGTAACATAACAATGTCTAATATAAATGTATATTTTTATTCAATGAATTTCTGCAATTTTTGTAGTGACAATGTAAACTATTTTAATGTTTTAATATTTTATCTTTTGCGTAAATCTTTTTTTCTATAACGCAGTAAGTATATTAGCATAAACGAAGCTAGTAGAAGTAGTACCGGTGTTCCTTAATTGTGTTCGTCACAAGAAGAGGAAACACTTCGATTGAGGTACCATTATCCTAGAGATATGATAAACAGATTCAATGTACGGATTTAATCATAGCATCATGTATAATGATGCTATGATTAAAGCTTAGGACATCATAATATATACTAATATATCTATTAAAAATAGGTGTGGATGGTAGAATGGTGAAAATTTATTATTGTATTTATTTGTAATGTCAAATAATAAAAAAAATATTTTGTCACATAAATAGATTTGGAATGGCCATCCTTCTTACTTAATGATATAAAAATAAACGATAACCTATTCTTACACCTATCGAGAATACATATAAAATTTGATAAAAATCGGTTATCGGAGAAGTATTAGATGTCACTTTTATGTATCTGCAATTTTTCTATTATCAATGAACATTAAACCATTGCCATTATAATATTTAATCTATTACGTAAATCTCTATTTCCAAAAAAGTCATACGTCTAATCTCTCAGCAACAATTAGGAAATTCATTTACATCACACGGGTCACAACCTATTATAACCATTAGTAGTTTAGGCGGAAAAACTCGAAACGGATCAACGAGACGCTCTCAAGACGTTACGCGAACCTTACCGATACAGCACAGATTTGTCATATACAACATTTTCATATTTAGCCAAAAGGCCTAGAAGCCATAAATCTGTTTTGCTTCTATAAAGCCGTCAATAAATGTGACAGCCTCCAAAAAATTTTATCATTTAGAATAATTGTTACTTGTGACGAACCTCTATGTCGTTTTCATAGTGACCTATCGTGAAAATGAAAATGTAGTGCGTTTTAATTTGACTATCAGCGACATCTAGGTGTGAGTAATGGAACATCCGGCGATCAAATATGTATGTACTATGTATGTTCTTTAGAATAAAATTGAATAGAATTCACTGACTTGTACACAAGAATAATGACATAAAAAGATAAAATTTCCACATATTACGAAACCAACTCACCATGTAGATCACAACTCACCATCTAGCATTATGCTGATATGAACTCAGCATAATGCTAGTTTTCAGCCAAACTAGATTTTCAGTTGGACCCACAGTACTCAGACAATTAAACTCAGAATAAATTAAATATTAATTATCATTAACAATAATCAATAAAAAACACAAAAATATCTTGGAATCGTGTAGGTTATCCGTTAACAGAGCGCAAGAAAATATATAATTATAAGACATAAGAATCCAAATAGCGCTTAATAAAATATAAATATCTCTATCTCTCGCTAAAACTCGAACATTTCTTAAGTTATTTTTAGAAAATTATTAAGCCATAAATTTCTTTCACTCATCCTATTGTAAGTCGACATGCGATAGGAACGTGAAAAATAATATGTAGTGAACAAAAAACGGAACACAGATATTTCAATAAATCCATTATTTAAATCTCGATTTTTTTATAAGACGTATCCACCTAATTACTCAAGTCTTATTTTACATTGTTCATATGTTACATATTCCCTTTTGCTTCTATGGGAGTGATTTCGTGGAAAGTGGTGGAAGCAGGGGTGCCAACATTAAATAACAGATTCTAGTGAGAAGAAATAAAAAAGCTAATAAAAGCTCGAATATTGAATTAATTCATTGGGCTCTTTAACCTCGCATAATATTGTATTTTGACCGTCTAAAACTTATATAATAATATACTGGGAC